GAGAGAGAGAGAGAGAGAGAGAGAGAGAGAGAGAGAGAGAGAGAGAGAGAGAGAGAGAGAGAGAGAGGTTCACTAGTGCGGGCCAGAAGAACAACAAATAGCACCGGTAGACACTGATATGGCACGCAGTAGTGAACCACTTGTGTGTCGTGAGGCAAAAAGAAGCAAACATTATGGACATAAATTTACTCTAAGCAGAAAGTAATAATATAGGCAGCACTTAAACACACATCATTGTGTGTGTGTGTGTGTGTGTGTGTGTGTGAGAGAGAGAGAGAGAGAGAGAGAGAGAGAGAGAGAGAGAGAGGTTCAATACTGCGGGCCAGAACTCCAACAAACATCTCATGCGAGACAGACATTGGCCGACAGTAGTGAACCTCATGCTGTTGGACAGGGCAAGACGCAGCGACAGAGAGCGGTTCACTAATGCGGGACAGAACGACAACAAACCGCAGCGGTGGACACGGATATAGCACGCAGTAGTGAACCACAAGTAGTTGGAAACGCAAAGACGCAGCACCAACGATAGGTTGACTACTGTGGGCCAGAACTCCAACAAACATCTCATGCGAGACAGACATTGGCCCGCAGTAGTGCACCTTATGCTGTTGGACAGGGAAAGATGCAGCGACAGATGGAGGTTCACTACTGCGGGCCAGAACGACAACAAACAGCAGCGGTGGACACTGATATGGCACGTAGTATTGAACCACAAGTAGTTGGAAACGCAAAGACGCAGCACCAGCGAGAGGTTCACGACTGCGGGCCAGAACTCTAACAAACATCTCATGTGAGACAGACATTGACCCGCAGTAGTGAACCTCATGCTGTTGGACAGGGAAAGATGCAGCGACAGAGAGCGGTTCACTACTGCGGGCCATAACGACAACAAACAGCAGTGGTAGGCATTGATATGGCACGCAATAGTGAACCACAAGTAGTTGGAAACGCAAAGACGCAGCACCAGCGAGTGGTTCACTACTGCGGGCCAGAACTCCAACGAACATCTCATGGGAGACAGACATTGGCCCCCAGTAGTAAACGATGTTGGACAGCGAAAGACGCAGCGACAGATGACAGTTCACTACTGCGGGCCAGAACGACAACAAACAGCAGTGGTGGACATTAATATGCCACGCAATAGTGAACCACAAGTAGTTGGAAACGCAAAGCCGCAGCACCAGCGAGAGGTTCACTACTGCGGGCCAGAACTCCAAAAAACATCTCATGCGAGACAGACATTGGCCCCCAGTAGTGAACCTTACGCTGTTGGACAGAGAAAGACGCAACGATAGATGAGAGTTCACTACTACGGGTCAGAACGACAACAAACAATAGTGGTGGACACTGATATGACACGCAGTAGTGAATCACAAGTAGTTGGAAACGCAAAGACGCAGCACCAGCGAGAGGTTCACTACTGCGGGCCATAACTCCAACAAACATCTCATGCGAGAGAGACATTGGCCCGCAGTAGTGAACCTTATGCTGTTGGACAGCGAAAGACGCAGCGAAAAATGGTGGTTCACTACTGCGGGTCAGAACGACAACAAACAGCAGTGGTGGACACTAATATGGCACACCATAGTGAACCACAAGTAGTAGGAAATGCAAAGACGCAGCACTAGTGAGAGGTTCACTACTACGGGCCAGAACTGCAACAAGCATGTCATGCGAGACAAACATCGGCCCACAGTAGTAAACCTTATGCTGTTGGATAGGGAAAGACGCAGCGACAGATGACGGCTCACTACTGCGGGCCTGAACGATAACAAACAGCAGCAGTGGACACTGATATGGCACGCAGTAGTGAACCACAAGTAGTTGGAAACGCAACGACGCAACACCAGCGAGAGGTTCACTACTGAGGGCCAGAACTCCAACAAACATCACATGCGAGACAGACATTGGCCGGCAGTAGTGAACCTTATGCTGTTGGACAGGGAAAGACGCAGCGACAGATGGCGGTTCACTACTGCGGGCCAGAACGACAACAAACAGCACCGGTGGACACTGATATGGCACACAGTAGTGAACCACAAGTATGTGAATATGGGAAAAGGCAGCGAACATTATAGACTAAAAAGTGTGGACGAAGAAGTTGTAATACAGGCAGCAATAGATCGATAGATAGATAGATAGATAGATAGATAGATAGATATGTATATATATATATATATATATATATATAGAGAGAGAGAGAGAGATAGATCGATATATATATATATATATATATATATATATAGAGAGAGAGAGAGAGAGAGATCACGCGTTCCTAACCACCCACGTAGTCACGATTTGACATCTTGTGTAGAGAGTTTTTAAGCGGTCCTTTCCTGCAATGCTGACATTCATTATTCCCTCCATGTTGGCCTGCGTTAGTTACGACCTGTACCATTATCTCTTTGATGTACGATATGAGATGGAATAGACAGTCCGCAACTAGCCTCGCCATTTGTCGCGAATTCGCTTTTGCAACGAACTTTTGAAATGTGTCCGTTGTCATAGGCAGCGCAACAGATTCTGCATCAACACAAGGTGCTTTGCTAGTGACGACACATGGGAAGTCGTGACGAACGTGGTGACCATTCAGTGTGGCAACATCGGTGCACGCCAACAGGGCATGCGGCGCAGGCACGCAGTCCCCGACAGTGGTCCCAATTCCTGTGGAGGTTTGCATTGTTGTGTCAATTTCTTCACTTGCCTTCGTCCTTTCACCTTCTGCACTTCCCATGACAACTTCGTTCGCACAAGTCACCGTCATTTCTCCATCCAACAACCTACCTCATGTGTGTTGCAGGGTATCAATGACGTCTGAGCAACCGTTCAACAGAGACGTCATATAACAAGGAAGGTCATCCTTACCAATCGCGACACCCTCATCGCAGAGACCGTACTCGTCTACGGTTTCCTTACAGTGGCGAATACAGTCTGCTGCGAAGGCAAAGAGGTCGATGACACTGCGTGAGGAAGCAGTTAGCGAACCCGTATTATATTCTTGGCTATCATACGATGCCCAAGCCTCCTTCAACACACACTTCTCAGGGTTGCCACAAGATGCGACATCAAGTCCTTGTGATTCCCTGTGAGTTCTCTTTGTGACGTGGGCGGCGAACCGATTCAAGACCGCAGTGCGCCTGCGTCTTTCACCATCCAACCATGTCCGGAACTCGTCAAACGTGGTGGTCTTCATTTCAGCTATTGCCTTAAGTCTGACAGTTATATCCTCCCTCAGACGACTTATGTCTAAACACTTTGGATCGTCTAGCAACAACCAGAAAACAATGAACATCATGTGTTCCGCAGTTTCTGTCATTTCTACGAGCAGTGACTTAATACGGTTTAGTTCGTCTGACATTTGTCTCGCCAATTTTTTCTGCTTGTGTACCTCGTCTGTTAGCCTATCTATATGTTCTAGCTGCTTCTCTACTATTTGACCCTAATTTCGGTCCATCTCAGTCGTCTTCTCTTCTTTGGACCCCAGTAGTAGAAAGTGATCCGCCGTTGCATCACACTTTTCGCCTGACTTTCTCTTCTGTCCGGTTTTGACCAATCTTGGCATCTGGAGATATATGTACATACAGAGAAATACAGATAGATAGATAGATAGATAGATAGATAGATAGATAGAGAGAGAGAGAGACAGACCCTCACTACTTCCATAGTTGTTGTCAGCGAGCGCCTACCAAAGATTGACTATATGTACGTGGCAACATACATTGTTTTTTATTACTATACATCTGCGTTTCCCTCGTACATGACTCGATGTAACACTGGACAACACAACTTAACAAATACAAAGCAGACCATTCTTTCGAAACACATCCGTCGGAATGAGGGAGTGAGAGTGATATAAACGCAGGAAAGAAAGAATGGAGAGAGAGAGAGAGAGAGAGAGAGAGAGAGAGAGAGAGA